ATAAGTCTTCCCCCCCCACTCCCCCCCGCCTCGCCGCAAGCGAGAGACCTAGATTTCAACCGCTGGGAAATAATCGCATCCCTGGATGCGTGATGCCACGCTGGCATACGGCCCCCCGTCCGCACCCTGGATGCACCTGGGGACGGAGGGCAGCTTTGGGGACCGAGACGGCTGGGGAGGGCTGGGAGCCCCGAGCGAGCCCGGTTACAGCTTGGAGCAACGGGGCTCTCGTGCCCCGGCGCTGCCCGGCTCCCGGGCAAATCGCAGCCGGGGCTGCTCCTTGCACGAGCACGACCGCTCGAGAGCCCCTTAAAGCAGGAATTTGCTCTCACGGCCCGTTTGCCCCCTGCAAACGGAGGCGTCGCCCCATCTTCTTGGCCGAAAAGGGGAGAGGGGTGCGCACCTGCGGGCTTGCTCCCCTCCAGCGCTTTGCAGGCACCCGACGGCTCAGCCCCTGCAAGCGCAGGCGAAACGGACCCGCTTGGATCCCGCTGCCCCGACGAGAGTGTCTGAGCAGCAACAAGCGCCGTAAAGCGCCCGGGATCCAGCACGGGCGAGCACTGGAGGAGGCGATGGAGAGACTTATTTTTATTGCCACATTCAGCAGGTGAATTTGCAGGGGGCCGCCAGTGCCGGGGCAATGGCCCCGGGGGGCTTTGGTGATGCCGAATTATTTTAGCTCCTCGTTTTTTTTCCTCAGCTTCCCCAGGACCCGTTCGCAGCCGGAGCGGTAGAGGCATGAAGCCTGCGACCAGGGTGGGCGAAGGGGCTGCTATCGCCAGCAGCGTGCTGCCAGCAAAGGTTTTTCTGTTTTTTTTTGTTTTTATTTCGTCTGCATCTCATTTTAGCCTTTTCTGAAGGCAGATCAGCCATAGCAGAGAAGGGTAGGCTGAAACCAAAAAACGATTTGCCCCAGGCTAACACTTATGCAATCCGCAGAAACTGAGGCCGGACGGAGAACAATTCAAGCAAAGCTGAATTTATAACTTGCTATCCCTGCTGCTCCGTGGCTAAGCTTTTGCAAAAAGTGCTTTTTTCGTAGAAACAGAGAAACTGTCTCCCTTTAAAGGGCCAAAACACCATCTAGAGCAAATCAGCAGAGTTTTTCTGAATTGAGTGATGCTCTCCTGCTTTACTATCCTAATCGTGGAGCTTTTATTATAATCGGTGTCTGCGCACGCCTCCCTCTGCCGCACTGACAATTCAGTATGTAACCCAGCATTTCAGCAAATTGAGCGAGCTGATACACAGCACCCACTTGTCTATTTTACATGCATTTAAATGGCTGAGGTCTTTGCTTCAATAGTATAACTAAAATAATGCAGAGCAGCATCAAATCTCTCCTGGGCTGTTCCCATTGTCCCCATGCACTTTAGAGTCACCCTAAGCAGGAAAACTTACCCCGTCTCTTCTTTTTGTCAAAAAATAGAGGTTTTAGCCACGTGTCTTGCAACGGTGAGCGTCACTAGGCCGGACGGAGGTGCGGCCAGGCCACACCATTCAACCAAAATAGAAAAATTCCCTGCTGAAGCCCCCCCGATAACATGGAAAAAGAGGAAGAAAAAAAACCCAGAAAAACCCTCTGGTCCATCCTCATCCCCTTATCCAGGGCAGTGAAACGCAAGCCCCAAGGTCAAGCCTGGCCCGACCACAGCCCCCTCCGCAGCACAGGAAGCCTAGGACTGGCCACCAGGTTTCTTAATGCTGCAATAAGCCAAGCTTCTCCCTTATCCTCTCCTGGGGAGGTGCGGGAACAGGACGGACCCGCTGCACCCTGCCCTCACCATGTGTCCCACGCACCCTCACGACGATGGCACGTGCTGGTGGCATCCTTGCTGGGGACTCTGGGCCACCTCCTGCAAGGACACAGCTTGCAGGGACAGGCTGGACACCAGCAGCAGGAGGAAAAGCCACGCCGGAGCCAGGTCATGGTGGGTTTGGACACAGCCACAAGCGTCATTGCGTTCCCACGGTCTCTCGTAGATGAGGCTCAAGGCAGAACAGAGCACCGGGTCCCTGGCTCCGTTGCAGCTTTCCAGCGCCTAGGGTTGACATAACTGGGCCCTGGATAATTTTAGGAGCTGTGAAAACCGAGTGAGTTCCCCAGGCTGTGAGTCAGCCTCAGGGAAGAAGCATCCGCCTTGCCCCCAAACCATGTCGAGGCGGCTGCGGACGTCAGAAGAGCCCACGTAGCCCTGAAATCCCTTCACCGCGAGCACTCGCACAGTGGTGCAAGCTTGCGAGATAAGGAGACACGCAGAGATGCCGGTGACCTTGATGGTGCAGCCCGGCAGCTAAAAACGCAGGCAGCCCGGGAACAACCTGACACAAGGACGAGGACCAGACTTTGCTCTTCCGTAGCAGATGCTGCCAGAGAACCCCAAAACATCGCCACGAGGGAGGTCGGAGTGGCTCTTCCCCTCTGACAGGGAGACGTGGAGATAGAGGGAGGTCCAGGGGATTGCCCAAGGAATAACAGTGCAAAGGGTGATGCTCGGGCTCTCCAGAACCTGAGATGATCTCCTGGTCCATGGGAGGACCTCCCGGTCCCCTGCCAGCCAGCCCCCAGACTATCTATATCGTTGCTTCATCCCCCAGCATCTCTCCATACACAGAAATTGCCCTAAAACGTCATGAACGGTCCATATTGCTCCTCTTCCGAATCCTAGTGATAAGACAGACCCAAGGCACCAACTTCAGCATTTTGGTGAAGCCAAAGTGCA